GAAGCAGCTTCCTTCCTGCCAAGCAGGGAGCCCAACACGGGGCTCGATCCCAGGACCCTGGGATCCTGACCTGAGCCGAAGGCAGACGCTTTAACAACTGAGCCACCCAGGTGCCCCTACATCGTCTTTAATCTTTATTCCCATTTTATAGAAGTGAGAGTAGAAATGCAGAGTTTATAAAACTTGTCCAGGGTCACATGTAGAGTGTCAAGGCTAGGATCTAAATTGTCTGCTTTTTGGGTTTTTTTCTGATCCATTCTGACTCTTGTTCCTGTCGCCGTATACCCATTATGTCCCAAATTGAACTTGGCTTCCTCAAAGGGCTTTGCCTTTCAACTTCAATCAGGTGTGCCACCATTCTACTTGTCACCCACGTCTGAAAGTCTGGGAACCTCTGCGTTCTCCATCAAGCCTCTCTATTGGGTTAGTCACTAAGGCTTTTAGTTCAGATGCACCTTTTCCTCCCTGTTTCCCGTACCTGGCTAGCCCCCCATTGACTTAGCCTAGACTTGCTCCACTGCCCTACCCGTGAGAGGTGAGCTTTACACAATACACTTGGATGGACTTCATTAGATTTTGATAAAACATTCTTAAATTTTCTAAGAAGTAAAGCACAATGATTTGTTTTTGCGCTGGCTGTTTGTCGGTGGTAGAACCTCAGAAGGGTCTAACTGCCATGGTACAGAAGAGTAAGCTGCTATGATTAGAACCCTTCTCTCCCCAGGGAAAGTGTACTGGGAGGGAGCTACTCCATTCTGTTTTTACAAGTAAAACCTTTTTCTTTAACAAACGGGACAATTGGATAGTCACATGCCAACACATGAGGTTGAACACCATTATGTGGTACACAAAAATAAACTAAGAATGGATCAATGACCTAAATATTAGAGCTGATCCTGTAAAACTCTTAAAACATAGAGGTGAATCTTCATGAACTTGGATTTGGCAATGGAATCCTTGATGTAACATCAAAAGCATGACCAACAAAATAAAAAACAGATAAAGTGGACTTCATCTAAGTTAAAAGCTTCTGTGCATCCAAGAACATTGTCAGGTAAGCGAAAAGACAGCATACAGAAAGGGGAAAAATATTTGCAAATCATATATTTGATAAGGGTTTAGTGCCCAGAATATATAGAAAGAAGTCTTATTACTCAAAACAAAAAGACATTTCTTGAAAGAAGATATACAAATGGCAAACAAGCACTTGGGAAGATGCTCAGCATCATTAGTCGTTAGGGAAATGCAAGTCAGAACCACAGTGATACACGACTCCACATCCATTAGGATGGCTATAATTTTTAAAAAGTAAATAAAAAGGAAAATAAGTGTGGTGAGGATGTGGAGAAATTGGAACCCTCATACATTGTTGATAGGGATGTAAAATGGTGCAGCTGCTGTGGAAAACAGCAAACATAGAATTACCAGAAAAACCTAGTAATTCCACTCCTAGGTACATATCCCAAAGGACTGAAAACAGGTCTGGAAACAAATAGATGTACCTGTATGTGCATAGCAGCAGTACCTCACAATAAGCAAAAGGTGGCAACAGCTCAAATGTCTATCGTGGACAGATGGATAAACAAATTGTGGTATATACATACAAAGGAATATTACTCAACCATAGAAAGGAGTGCCCTGTGGGTACAAGCTATTATATAGAGGAAACTTGAGAATATTATGCTATGTGAAATAATCAGATGTATCACTACCGCATGATTCCATTTGTATAAAATATCTGCAACAGGTAAATCCATAGAGATAGCACATTGGTGGCTGTTAGGGGCCGGGTGGAGGGAGAATGGGGAGTGATTGCTGATGAGTATGGATTTCCTTTTGGGGGTGATAAAAAATGTTTTGGAACTAGCTAGAAATCAAGAGATGTAGCCAGGATTACTAGCTGGCTTCTGATTACAGCCTCTTCTCTTTGCTGAGGTCAGGACCCCAAGGCCAGGGATTTCTAACTCTGATGCCTTCAGGGGTCCAACATATGGGGAAACTTGTTTGAAGTCCACTGGATTTAAGGCAGCAGGGAGTGGTGGGTCTAGGTGGAACTGGGCTGGACCTGTACTATCTAAAGGCATTCATATTCAGGCAGATCTTTCCTGGGCTGATTCTTGCCCCATCTCTGTCATTCTGCCATCCCTCTTGAGCCATCTGACAGACTAATGTATTTAAAATATCATCTTCACCATGCCATTCGTTTTCTAAAAATCCATTTCCTGTAACAGAACCAAAACTTCTTTGCTCCCCCTTCCAGCACAGCATCTGTGGAAGCTCAGCTGGTTCTGTATGTATCATGAAACTGTTACCCTCCTCCCACTCACCCCGTCCCAGCACCTGGAGTTGGGGGGGTGGGGTAACAAGACCAAACCCTACTGGCTGTGTAATCGGATGGGCTCACTCTGAATCTTTGGTTTAAGGGCGGCTTAGAAATGGTCAGCGGCTGGTGGCTGCCTCTCTACAGGGAATGGTGAGTTTCTTTAATGCCACTGGCCCAGCATATTTGTCTGTTATCTCTGCTGGCAGAGATGGGGAGAGGGACACAGAAGAATCTGGGAAGATTTTTGTTATTCAATGAGATGGAGAAAGTTGGGTTTTGTTGTTGTTGTTGTTGTTGTTGTTTTTTAATTTGCCCAAACCTTTAGAGGCTTGGAAGGTCAGAATGGGGAGGGGTGTGTCAGGGGAGTCAGAGAGGGTGTGGAGGAGGAACACCGAGTCCATTAGATCTAGGGAGGGGCTGGCACTGTTTTCTTTGTGCTTCCAGCTCTATAGCTCCTTGTAATCCCTCTTCACTGCTGATTTTCTGAGAAGCACGTAGGACACAGACATCTTTGGCCCACATCCTTCTAATGTGTAGCAATTCAGTGGACGTTTGCAGGCTGGGGGCAGAAAGAGGAAAGTACAGTGTGTGACTTGAGGGACCTGCCTAAGGTCCTTGCCCTCAAAGGCACCCCGGAGCCCCTCCTTGGTGCCCAGAGTACCACCATCACAGATCCCTTTCTTTAGATATTTAAAGAATTTGAGCTCTCCAGAGAATCTTAAATTTCAAAGGCCTCTCGGAGAGGTAAAGGTAAAGCCATCTTAAGAGCCCCTCAGTGGGAGTCAGTGGAGAATCAACCCAGGAAGGGTGTAACCCGGCCCACGTAGGGCTCAGAACTCATTTTTTCATTGTTTACCTAGACAGAATGGCTGGAGGAACTGAGTCAACCTTTTTTTAGTTGTTATTCTGTCTTCAGTGGATTCCTTTCTCCACCCTCCCCATTTGGACTTGAATAGCAGGGCTGGGGAGAGACTCCTTTCTCCTCTGAAATCCTGAGTATAGAGCTCTGAGTTCTGGGTGGTTCAGTGTCCAGCCCACAGGAGGTTGTGCTTGCTTGGCATCTTCAGAACCATCCTACTTATGGAAATGGAGATCTGGCTTGCATGCCTCCACCACCCGCTCAGAGTTCCTTGGCTTAGCCTACAGCACTTTAGACAATTAGCGTTTTTGCTCTTTTTAGGAAGATTGGCTCCTGCAAGGGGACACATATCCCTGGAACCGTCCTGTAGGGGAGGTGGCCACCTCAGCTACCGTCCTAGGAGAGCCAAGATGGCTCCACATGGTGGTGCTTTGGTGTTAGACAGGCCCAGAGTATAACTGGTTTGGGGCACTAGTTCTTTCTTCCTGGGTCATATCCACAGAGATTCGTGGGTGTGAAAGTGTGTGTGTATGCTCTGACTTCTCCAGCTTGTCAGCCAGTTCTCGATGCCTGGGGTTGAGTTCCCAGCTCAAAGGAAAATCTCTATGCCCAAAAGACATGTTTTCTTATAGGCTTAAGTGAAGTAACTTGGAGAGGTTCATGGAAACTGTCCAGGCACAGTCTGAAACCTTGGAAATCCACCATGCACCACCATTCCTTGTGGTCTGAGAGTGGTTATGGCCCAGGGGTGCCCGGGCAGACAGGAAGCCCAAGTAGGCTCTCCTCAAAGAGGGGGTCAGCTGTGACCTCATGACTCCTTCCATAGGGTATGAATGGGCTGTAAGCCTTGAGGCTTAAGAGAGAGGGCTCTTGAGTCTGGCTGCCTGTGTTGCAGTCCTAGCTTATTAGTTGGTGCTGTATCTGTTTCCTCATCTTATAAAAAGGATGTGGCAGTGATACCTACCTCCTAAGGTTGTTATGAGTTAAAGATAATGCCTATAAAAGACTTGGCACAAAAATGGATGTATCGTAGGTGCATCTTACCAAAAATGATGGTTCCTACCATCAGTCCATGGTAGCTGCACAGGGAGCCTGAAGGAGAGGACAAGAGTCTGGCAGGAGGGCTCTGTATTTGCTGGTTTTCCTATGATTAATGCAGACTTTCTGGTTTCTTCTATGTCCTTTCCTTGCCCAGTATTGATCCTCCAGAAGGTGGAGAACGGAGACCTGAGCAACAAGATTCTGAAGATCACTGATTTTGGCCTGGCTCGAGAATGGCATCGAACCACAAAGATGAGCGCAGCAGGGACATATGCTTGGATGGCACCCGAAGTCATTCGTGCCTCCATGTTTTCCAAAGGCAGTGACGTGTGGAGGTAAGGTCCAGAGGCTCAGGGTCAGTGCTTCCCAGGTCTGTTTTGGCTGCACACACGTTTCAGGACTTGGAGAATTGAAGATGTGTAGACTCCCAGGCACGCCAAATAGGTCTAAGTGACCCATTCAAAGCAATCTACAGTAATTCCCAGGTTGGCATGGGACTGTTTCTAATGCTTTCACCTACCCAAAGTCCCTTTAGTGCTGTGGCAGGTACCACCTCTGTGTGTTGGTGATTGCTCCATGGGAAAGACCAGTAGATCTCAGGGGCAGTGTGCACTCACATCTCTGACGGTAGGGTGGTGAGGGCACCCGGTCATTCCTCGGAACCTTCTCCAGGTCATCCTAGCTGCCTTAGCAACTGTGGCTGTTACTGCTGGACCTGTCCGCACTGTAAGCTCTTCAGCTGATGAGTATTCTTTGTGCGATCTCTTTTATTTTGGTGGGTTGGAAATGAGCCTTTCTAGTTGTCTGGTTAACCTTTTAGTCAGGGCTCTATCTGTTGAACAGTGATATAGAAATGGGAAAAGATGGGTCTCAAGCAGGTACCCAGAACCTCAGAGTCACAGATTCGACCAACCACCCCGCTAGTAAATATCAGCCAATAGGTCATAAGGACATGGATCTAAAAATCTTGTACCCCCAAAATAAATAAATAAATATATAAATATCTCTTGTATCTATCTATCTATCCATCCATCTATCTATCTATATCTTGTCTTCGCTGATGGGAGGATGAGCTTCTACAGAGTATGCATCCTCATGGCTGTGAGATAGTAACATCACCATGGTAATACCAAAGGAAAAGACTATAGGTTATCATTGTACTTGGTCCATGAATTTGTTTCTTCCTAATGAGTTGTAAAGTGAGCCTGTGTGTGTATATGATGAGTGTGTATATATTTTTTTAAAGATTTTATTTATTTGAGAGAGGGAGAGCGCGCACGAGTAGGGGGCAGAGGGGGAGAGAGAGGAAGGGGGAAAGAATCCCAAGCAGACTCTGTGCTGAGCCTGATGTGGGGCTCAGTCTCACGATCCTGAGATCATGACCTGAGCCAAAACCAAGAGTCGGATGTTTAACCAACTGAGCCACCCAGGCACCCCGAGTGTGTGTATTTTAAATAACAGTTTTATTGGGATCTTACACACATATTACAGAGTTCACCCTTTAAAATGTATAAGAGGGTGCTTTTTAGTAAATTTACCAAATTTGTACCAATCACCATTGTTTAATTGCTAGGGCTGCTATAAGAAATTACCAGGTGGCTTTAAAGAATAGACATTTGTAGTCTGGAGGCCAGAAGTCTGAAACCAGTATTTACAGGGCTACACTCCCTCCAGAGACTTTAGGGGAGATTCTGTTCCACATAAGGATTTTGCATATTAGGACGTGGATATATTATTTTAGGACCACCGTTCCAACCACTACACCTGCTGTCTATTTCCAGAATATTATTATTGCACCAAAAAGAAACCCAGGGCCTATTAGTAGTCATTCCTGAATCCTGCCTCTCCCTACCCCCAGCAACTACTAATTTACTTTCTGTCTCCATGGGTTTGCCTATTATAGACATTGCATATACATGGAATCATACAATATGTGGTCTTTGTGACTGGCTTCTTTTCTCATGTTTTCAGGGTTCATCCATGTTGTAGCATGAGTCAGAACTTTGTTCCTGTTGGTAGCAGAATAATATTCCATTGTATGGAAATTTGTTTATCCATTCATAAGCTGCTGGACATTGGAAGTGTTTCCACTTTTTGGCAGTTGTGAGTAATGCTGTTGTGGACATTTTTGTACAAGCTTTTGTGTCAACATATTTTCAGTTCTCTTGAGTATATACCTAGGAGTGGATTTGCCAAGCCATATGGTAATTCTGTGTTTAACTTTTTGAGGAACCACCAAACTATTTTTTATCACAGCTATGTCATTTTCCATTTTCATTAGCAATGTAGGAGGGTTCCAATTTCTGTGCATCCTCTCAACACTTATTATATGTCTTTTTAATTACTGCTATGCTGTTAGATATGAAGTGGTATCTCATTGTAGTTTTGGTTTTATTTCCCTAATGACTACTGATGTTGAACGTCTTTTCATGGCTTATTGGCCATTTGTATATCTTTTCTGGAGATATACAGGTCTCCAGATATAAAGGTTTATTGAAATCCTTTACCAATTTTAAAATTGAGTTATTTGTCTTCTTATTTTTAAGTTGAAAGAGTTCTTTATATATCGTTAATACAAGTCCCTTATCAGATACATGATCTGCAAATATTTCCTCCCTTTGTGCGGTCTCTCTACTTTCTTGATGGTGTTCTTTGAAACACAACATTTTTAATTTTGATGCGGTCCAATTTATCTGTTTTTTTCTCTGGTTGCTTGTGCTTTTGGTGTCATATTTAAGAAACCATGCCCTAGGTTATGAATATTTATACCTGTTACCTTCTAAGAGTTATAAAACTTAGCTTTTACATTTAGGTCTGTGTTCTTTTTTGAGTTAATTTTTGTATGTGGTGTGAGGTAAGGGGTTTAACTTCATTCTTTTGCTTGTGACTACAGTAGTCCCTCCTTATCAGTGGTTTTGCTTTTTTATGGTTTCATTTACCCATGGTCAACCATGGTCTGGAAGGTCAGACCTATCATCAGAATACCTAACGCTGTGTCACAGCACCTACATCATTCATCTCACTTCATCTCATCACATAGGCTTTTTAATCATCTCACATCATCACAAGAAGAAGGGTGTATATAGAACAATAAGATTTTGAGAGAGAGAGAGCATATTTATATAACTTTTATTATAGTATATTATTATAATTCCATCTTATTATTAGTTATTGTTCATTTCTTACTATGCTTAATTTACAAATTAAACTTTATCATAGGTATGTATGTATAGGAAAAAACATATATAGGGTTCTGTGCTACCTGCAGCTTCAGGCATCCACTGAGGGTTTTGAAATGTATCTCCCATGGATAAGCAGGGACTCCTATATTTGTTGAAAAGGCTATTCATCTAATTAAATGGTCACCCTTGTCAAAAAGTAATGTACCATAAATGCAAGGGTTTATTTCTGGACTCAGTTATACTCCATTGGTTTATGTATCTATCCTTATGCCAGTACCATTCTGTTTTAATTACTGTAGCTTTGTAGTAAGTTTTGAAATTAGGATGTATGAGTCCTCCAACTTTGTTGTTATTCTTCAAGATTATTTTGGCCATTCTGGGTGCCTTGCATTTCCAAATGAATTTTAGGAGCATTTTGTCAATTTCTCCAAAATAGGCAGCTGAGATTTTGATAGGGATTGTATTAAACCTGTAGATCATTTTGGGGGGTATTGCTTTCTTAACAACATTAAGTCTTCCAATCCATGAACATGGGCTATCTTACTATTTATGTAGGCCTTTTTCAATTTCCCTTAGTGATATTTTATAGCTTCTGTGTATTGCATCTTATTTTCCCACACAATAATTACAGGGTAAAGTAGCTATTATGAAGAAAAGAGTTTTCTTTCCTTAAAATATCTGACCAGATTTCATTAGGTTGAACTGTGTAGGGATATTCCAGTATTTTCAACCTACAAAAACAGCAATTTCATAGGCTTCAATTTAACGCTTTCATTACTTGACTATAGGCTAATGAGAATAGTTAATATATTAATTAAACTAATCCTGTTAAACAAAGAGACCTACATAGGCAGTGGCTTAAATAAGGTAGAAGTGTGTTTCTTTTTTAAAGAGTCCAGGCTGTGGGTTAGCTGTGCCCCATGAGATCATTTAGAAACCCAGGTTCTTGGCGCACCTGGGTGATTCAGTCTGTTAAGCATCCAACGCTTGGTTTTGGCTCAGGTCTTGATCTCAAGATTGTGAGGTTGAGCCCTGCGTCAGGCTCTGCACTGAGCATGGAGCCTGCTTGAGATTCTCTCTCTCCCTCTCCCCCTCCCCTGCTTGTGCTCACTCTCTCTCTCTCTCTTAAAAAAAAGAAAAAGAAACCCAGGTTCTTTCCGGGCCCCTCAGTGCATTGTTCTTGTCTGAATGGTTACATCTGAGTGACTGTTACTTCAGCATTATATTCTGCAGAAACAGAGAAAGAGCTTATTCATTGCAAGCAGCTTGTCTTTAATTTGGAGACAATCCAGAAGTTGTGCACATCTCTTCTGTACACACCCCATTGTGTGCTCTTGGGTTATGTGGGCACGCCTGGCTCCAAAGGAGGGAGGCAGTGTAGGCTATAGCTGGTTAACTGTGTCCAGCTAAAACTCTTATTATGGAAGAAGGGGAGACTGGATTTGGGGGACAGTCAGCCACTTGCCACACTCAGCTTCCATGCTGCAGCATTTCCTGCAAGCAGCAATGTATTGGAACCCATTAGATGGGCCTTTAATCCCACCTTCCTTGAGCCTACTTACCTAAGTGGCTCCAAATGATCTTGTACCTTTACCAGAGGAAATCTTGTGCCCATTGCTATATGTACAATATGCATACACTGGTAACAGTATTTACCACCTACACAAATGCTTATGAGCTAGGCTCTGTGCTAAATGCTGTGCCTCTTTTTTTTTTTTTTTTATCTCATTTGTTCCTCACAAGAATCCCCCAAAGTAGAGGATATTATTTCTGTTTTACAGATGAGGTGACAGAGGCTGCTATGGTTTAAGTCACTTGCCTAAGTTCAGCCAGGTGGTAGAGGTAAAGCTGTGAGTGGAACTAGACATGTCTTGGGGCGCCTGGGTGGCTCAGTCGGTTAAGCGTCTGCCTTCGGCTCAGGTCATCATCCCAGGGCCCTGGGATTGGGCTCCAGGCTCAGTGGGGAGCTTCTCCCTCCCCTTCTGCTGCTCCCCTGCTTGTGCTCTCTCTTTCTCTGTCAAATAAATAAATAAAATCTTAAAAAAAAAAAAAAGAACTAGATATGTCTCTTGGAACTTTGTGCTTATAGTCCTATTGCCATTGGTATACTCTTGTTCCTGCACTTTGGGCAGCCTCTTCCAGGATGATTGGCCCACCATACCTGGGGCCCAGCAGGATGTGCCAGAGAGGGCCCAAGCATGCCTAGGAAGTTGGACAAAGCTCATTCCCGAATTGACTTATAATTCATTTACTCATTCAGGAATTGTTTGTTGAATACTAACTCTGGGCCAGGTACTAGGCTGAGCCTGTGTCCATCCCCCACCCCTCCTGGAACTCCTTGGGGTCTGGGGCTGCTCGGCCTCTGCTGGCCAGCTGAGTTTGTCTTACCGCTTTTCAAGGGTGGTTCTCTGGGCCTCTTCCATATGCTGCGAATGGAGGATATGATGGTCATGGCCCAGATCCTTAACTTTGTACGTTTCCTGATCTGCTTGGATTTAGACCGCCTCAGGAAGAGTAGTTGACGAAACCTTTCCCTCTGGTTGTGCCGTGTAGGGAGCGCAGTGGTTAGTGGTGTCCTGCAATGACTTCTCGCCTGGTGTGTGTGGGATGAAGTGGAGGCATTTTAAGTTTTTAAAATTACAGAAGTAAAATATGTTCACCATAGAAAAAAATTAGAAAATATAGATGGGAAAAAAAGGGAAAAAGAAATCACCGATTACTCACTTCTGAAGATAACCTCTATTAATATTTTGGTGCATTTATTTCTGTTCACATGCTCATCTACCCATTCTTTAAAATGGGATCATTCTGTTTTGTAAGCTGCTTTTGGAATATAATTTAGCCTGAGCATATTACCATATCAACATCTATTTATTGTGTCAATATATTCATGTATATATTATATATATTAATAAATAGATCATCATTTTGAATGAGGTCTAGTTAACAACAAGAATAGTTTTATGTTACTGTACAATTTAGAGTGCTTTCTCATGTGGTACTTCACCATCTTTGCCAAAGATATTTTTTTAAAGATTTATTTATTTTAGAGAGAGGGAGAGGGCGAGGGAGAGTCTTAAGCAGACTCCATGCTGAGCACGGAGCCAAACTTGGGGCGCCATCTCAGGAGCCAAAATCAGGAGTTGGATGCCTAAACCAGCTGCACCACCCAGGCGCGCCTTTGCCAAAGATTACTAAACAGTGTGGTTTCTGGAATGTGGGGTCACAGCTGATTACCAAGTGCAGAAGCCCATTCGAGGGACACCTTCTCCTTTCAGTGTGTGTCTTGGAGACAAGGTAGGTTAATAAGAAAAATCGTCCCAGTCCAGCTCAGGTGTGGGTTTGCTGTGCCTTTGGTTGGGCCGCTATCCACTCTGATGCTTTTCCTCACTCTGCAGACATAGAACACCCCTCACCGACCTGTGACCCACCACACAGTGGGAAGGATTTCCATAGCCCTGGAGGTGGTTAATTACTGACCCAGGGTGCATTCCGCAGGGTTTGGGGCGAGGTTGCAAGGACTCCTGGGAAATCACTGACAGCACTGTGGGAGCTGGGAACTGTCTGCTGGGGGAGGGGCTGAGGCAGAGTCTCAGCTGAGCTGGTACTTCCAGGTTGCTTGTACCCGGTCTTGGGTCTACGGCCATACCACCCTGAACGCCCCCGATCTCGTCTGTACCCGGTCTTGGAAGGGCCTCTTGACCTTCTCTCCATCCTGGGAGGGCATCAGAGTAAGTCAAACCTGAGGTAAATCACGTGGACTGGTTCTGCCCACCTCTCCTTGGGGCTCAGACCCATCCAACGTGTAATTCTTTAGTTCCTTTCTTGGACTGTATTCCTGCCAAAGGAACGCCAAGGCTTCACTTACATTACCACCTTCGGTTACAGAAATAAAGAGGAACGTTGGCAGAGGAAACCTAACTGGTCCACTCATTCCCAGAAAGGCTACTTGCCTGAACGCTGGTGTCCCTCAGCAAGACTCTCAGCCGGCATGGCGGGCTTTCCCCGAATCCCACCAGAGGCTTTCTTGTTTCGGGCCCTTCCCAAGGGGAAACACATAGCGTTCACTAGCCGTACGTGGAAGCTTCTGGAGAAGTGGTAGCCTTGTTATTTATCCCTTGCTGTTACTCTGTGAGGTAGAAGTGCTCTTTGTTGCGCAGGTGAGGAAAATGGAGGAGCTTCCTTTCCCAGGGCCACACCGCCCGCTGTGAGCGGTAAAGCAGACATTTGATTCAAGTCTGTCTGAATCTTTCTTGAGTAGCATTCGACCGGCTCCTCTTAGTTGTGGGGCCTTTCAAACGGAACGAAATGCAGATGAACAAAGAAAGAAGCCAGGTGAGAACAGAGCTGCCTTCCTGGAAACTGAGAGGGGTGGAGCCCCGGCTCCTCCCTCTTCCAGGTGGCCTGAGACATCTCCATGGAAACCATGGGCAGAGCTGATGCAAGGACACAAACAGGACACATGTTTAGATCTTTGAAACACTCTACTGTCTTTCCAGGTAGTTAGGGCTCAGACACCCATCGTCTTCGCCTAGATAGAAGAGAGGGGTTCTTTGGGACCTTGGGTTTTTATTGTCCAGAGTGGAGGTTGGCAGGAATGCCAGGAGCAGACAACTGAAGATGAGAGTCACTGTAAGCTAGGAATCTCGTCAGCAGTGCTGAGAGTTCTTAGAAGTCACGGTAAAGGTTTGGCAGGAAGAATAACAGTGCAATTCTTGGTGTTCGGGGCTTACTCTAGGGCACACAGTGCAGCCTGCAGGACCGTCTGACCATGCACGTTTTCCCACACCCACCCACCAACTCATTTACTATATGAGGGCCTGTCTCTGGATCTCTGTCTTCCTTTTCCTAGCAGTCAAGGTTTAGCTGTCTCCTGCCCCCATCCTGATCTGGCCAGGAGCCCATCTGGGTCTCTTTGTACACTCATGGTATCTCTCTTGTGACTCATCTCTGTGTCCTAATTGACGTCTTTTCTGTTCCTCACATTAGTGTCTTTGTGGACAAGATCTGTATCCTGCATCCCAGTGTCTGACATTGAGCTTGATGCATGGTAAATCTTTATAGATGTGTAAAATGAATGAGTACATGGTGGTGCATTTGAATTTGATCTTGAAAGACGATTAGAGTTTACTAAGCAGAGAAATGGTGGAAGGGGATCCTAGAGAGAAGGAACTGAGATTTGGTCCAGGGTCCACCATGACTTATTCCATGTATGCCCTAAACTTTCTGAAACTTGCTTTCATCATCTGCAGAATGGTGATATTTATCTTGCAGGTTCATGGTAGGGATTCAAGATGATGTTATAAATGTCTTAGCACCTTGTGCATACAAAGTACCATGATGAAATAGATATTGGGCTTACTTTTTTTTTTTTAATGAAGTAATCTCTGTGCCCAACATCAAGAGTCACCTGCTCTACCAACTGAGCCATATGTTGTTTTAAAATAACATAACTTTGTTGGTTGTAAACTACTGATGAGTATTTTTTAAAAATTTGAGGTTTGTGTTGAAAATATAAGGAGAGCCAGTCTTCGAACTGTTCGTGGCCTTATGGTTGCTTGTCCTGGGAGGATTGTTGTTCCTGGAAGGATTGAACACTACGTGATTTTGCCTTGTTCTGATTGTGAATTCATAGAATAATTATTCTAAGCTTTGTTCTCCCCATTCTCTGACTCACAGGACATGTGAAAGGAAATTCTTCATGTGGATTTGAAAGGTTGGGAGGAAACTGAGGTCCTCACAGCTGACCCACTGCTCTGCTCTTCCCATGTAGGCCGCCCCGTGTGTGACTTTCCTCTTTGAATTACACACAGGACTCTGTTAACCGATCAGGGGTGGGAATCTATCCAACCTAGTGGGCATTTAAAGAAACCTGTTACAAGAGCAAAATCCATTTGTTGTAAGTAGTCAGCTCTCTGCTTTTCTAAAGCTGAAAAAATGTATCTGTGACGAAAGCTGAAGTTTTCTTAAAACAGGAAAAAAATGTATTCTTGGGAGGCAGCGTCTTCTTCCAGAGTATTACATTAGCAATAACAACAACAGAAGAGCTATGGCTGGTAAGCTCCGATTTAAACCCTTAGAGTAGCTCGGTGAGACTCACGGCATCCTGGTGAGCCCGGAGTTGTTGTTCGCACTCTGTAGATGAGGAATTTGAGGAACAAGACTTTGAAACTAAGTGTGCCTGACTCCAGAGCTTTTGCTTTTAGTGGGTAGCCTCCTGGTGTCCTGTCAATGCCCCCACGGGTGCGTCTGCTCTGTTGGTCTCCCTCCATGCCAGCAAGAGTGTGGCTAGCTCGGAAAGGCCTCGCGAGCCCTGTCGGTGAGATTGCACCTGTCGCAATCTGAGACTGCTTCTGTCTTCTTCCTCTCCTCAGCTATGGGGTGCTGCTTTGGGAGCTCCTGACTGGTGAGGTGCCCTTCCGAGGAATCGATGGCTTAGCCGTGGCTTATGGAGTGGCCATGAACAAGCTCGCCCTTCCCATTCCTTCTACGTGCCCAGAACCTTTTGCCAAACTCATGGAAGGTAAGTGGCCCCTGACTGGAACAAAACTGGAGGGTTTGCCTTCTGAGCAGCACTTGGGTAGATGTCAGACAATTCTGCTGAGTCAGTTACGGAGAGAGGAGATGAAGTACAAGTCAGTCAAGGAGGAATCCTGTGGGTGGGTGGAAGAGCTGCTTTCAGATGATGTCAGCACCTGCCATGTGGATGACACAGGTGCTCCTTCTGTCCATCTCGAGGGACTGTAGAGCTCAACTTAGTAACTAAAACCCGCTATCCAGCACTTCAGTGTTTTATTACTTAATACAAAATGAGAAGACACAGCAGCTTTTATTTTCAGGACCTCTGAGTGTATTACATCTAGAAACGAAGAACATCCGAGAAGAAAGGAACTCTAGAAGTCATCCGGTCAAACCCTGTAGTTCCCTGAGTGAGAAATCCAAAGCTGAGAGGGGCAAAGTGCACTCCATTAGCTAGTGCGGGAGCTGAGAATAGGTAGAGTTCACTTTTCCTGACACCCAGTCCAGTCCTTTTTATCTTTGCCTTATCATCATCCCGTTGAGGTGGGGAAGGCTGGCTCATTTATTTGTGGGAAATCGAGGCCCGAAGTCTAGTTACCCACTGTCATGACTGGGCTCGCGTAGGAACATAATAAATCCTGGCTGTTGAGCCTCATGCCAGCAAACTCTTCGGACTTGCTTTTCTGATGCTAAATCAGCAAGCAGAGTCGGATGGGGGTAGAACTGCTGCATTCTATTTCCACACTCACTCTGTATGATCGTGAGCTTGGGCAGCTTGCTTTACTTCCCCAGCCCTATGTGTAGTTGCCAAAATCCCCGTGTTTCTGTTTCTGGAAGGAAAAATGAGAGGCACTTTTCTGGTAAATGAGGTCACGTAATATTCTGTCTTATGCTTGTCTCTGTCCATTCATGCTTTCTGTCTACTCCCGTGTTCCATGCAGACTGCTGGAATCCTGACCCTCATTCACGACCATCTTTCACAAATATCCTGGACCAGCTAACTACCATAGAGGAGTCTGGCTTCTTTGAGATGCCCAAGGACTCCTTCCACTGCCTGCAGGATGACTGGAAACATGAGATTCAGGAGATGTTTGACCAACTCAGGGCCAAAGAAAAGGTAAATAAAACAAGAAAAAGGCGTGAGTTGAATCAGTGGGCCTTCCCCACTGGGGCCTCTGGACAGATTCTGACACAACCACCTTCCTGCTTAGTTTGAGGTAAACAGAGCAGCTTTTTCTTCCCAACTTTACATGGAGAGAGTTCTTCAGGCCTCAGATGTGAGCTGATGTAGTAGAGACGTTTTCTTTCTTTCTGGGATTTGGCAGGAACAAGTAGGGGTGTCATGAGTCCAAAGTTGTCCACACAGAGTATCTACTTCATTGTCCAAACCAGAGGAAGAGCACCACTGGGCAGGTATCAGCAGAAAATATGAGAGGGTTCTAGAAACGTTTCTTGGTTCCGTAGTGGACTTCCAGAGTGGGGGTTAACTTAAGATAGAGATTCTTCAACACTGAGCACAGTTATCAGCACATCCTGCCACTGTCTTTGGTATCAGAATCAGAAACAGCAGATGGGCTAAAAATACTGTATGGTTCTGAAATTATGTGGTATTTTGCATGTTTTTGTGAAAAAGGCTCAAGCCCGAACTGACTGAGAAGTTCAGATATTCTTAGCTTACTAGAGATCTGCCTTTCGTTTTGGTGTCCCTTCCTTACGTGGCTCCTCTCTGGGCCCTTGGTGTCTGGTGAGCAGTCCGTGTCCACCGAGGGGAAGCTGATCGTGAGCACTTACGTTGCTTCTACTGCAGGGGCTAGGCTGGCTCCAAGGGCTGCAGCTGGGGACACAAGCAACGTCCATGTGTCTCTTGGTTAATTTCTTTTTTCCCTCCTCATTGCCCACTCGGGGCATTTGGGAAGCAACATGATAACAGTAGCTGAACTTGTGTACATCTTCGTGGCCTCCCAGTTCTTTCCCTTGGAAGATGTGATGATGGAAAGAACCTTTCGTCCTTTTTATCCAGGAGTCTTGTGGCCCCTGCCCCAGCATGTAGGGCAGGTGTTACTATCTTTCTCATCTCAGGGCGAAGGGTCAGTGACTTGTCACACAGCCTGTACGCGGGGAAACAGAATTTTCAACCTGGGTCTTCTGATTTTAACACCATCTTCTCTCCAGTATTGTTTGCCTAAACAAATGACTTAAAAATCCTTTCTGGAGCTGATTTGAAGAGATAAACCTCTTTTTATGCCACATAGCAATCCTAAACCTGGTACTATTTGGCAAGTCAATGAGTGTTCCTCAGGGGAATGGAGTGAGCTTATGACAAATCTTTTAGGACCTGGGTGGGGGGAAGGGACCAGCACTGACCATTGGGCAGAATGATTGAAAGAGGGTGTTTCTTGGGTGCCTGGGTGGCTCAGTCAGTTAAGCATCTGACTTTGGCTCAGGTCATGATTTCAGGATCCTGGGATCGAGCCCCATGGTGGGCTCCCGCTCAGGAGGGAGTCTGCTTGTCCCTCTCCCTCTGCCCCTCCCCCACTCATGCTCTCTCTCTCTCAAATGAGTAAATAAATAAAATCTTAAAAAAAAAAAAAGAGAGAGAGAAGAAGAGGGTACTCCTGTTACTAATGCTATTCCAAGTAGAAGAAACCTAGAGTTGCTGGCCCTTTAGATTGTTGAATCACTTGATTCTTGGTTTTCTTTCTTTTGATTGATGAAATTACAAGGGTACCCACCAGTAAGAAAAATGAAAGTTGGATTTTGTTGTGGATGGTTACTAGGAGAAGCCAAACCCATTCTCGTAACAGCTAACATTTATAGAGCATGTACTATGTGCCATGCTCTGTTATAAAGTGATTTATATGAATTCTTATGTAATCTTGCATAATAAGATAATAATTGTCTTATGTAAACAACTGTGATGTCAGTGCGGTTAGCTCCATGTTACGTATAATGCCCCTGGTAACTCGCCTCAGGCCATGATTCAGGCAGTGTGTTCCAGAATCCTTGCTCTTAACCATTGTGCTATGATGTCTGTCCATTATAAGACTCCTAGTTGGGGAAGTGAGGGTGAGGGATGGATAATGAGCTTTCTCTCTGGGGAGATGCCTCTTAAATCATTGTATGCAGGTGATATGATCTGCATACTAGGAGGCTGATCCCTAAATGGTGTTTCACAAGAAGGAAGAGACTCACCGTGTTTGAGAGTCTTGCCGACACATGGTGCCATTGGCGAGTACTCCATAAATGTCTTGGTTTCCCATATGATTCAGCTCATTCTCAGCTTGTCTCAATTTACCACTTCCAGGTATAGTGACGATGGATTTGTCTCTGGACTGGGGTCTGAGTTCCCTCAAAGGAAGGGGCTATAACACAAACCATCCCCTAGATAAGAGCAGGTAGGAGAAGAAGACTTAGGAAGGCTGAAATTAGCTTGAACTTTTTAACTTTCCCATCTAGCAGCAAAATCAACCAGCCAAGAATGATTTTTCTGAATCTTCCATGTTTTTCTTCTCCTGATGGTGAAAACAAAGTAGTGGGACAAGGAGAGCCAAGGCTTTGGGGGTGGGGGTGGGGGGCATACAACAGTGAATCTGTTTGGGGCTTATTTCATCGAAGAAGGAGAAGTTCAAAAGTTCAGGCTCATCTCTCAGACACTTACGATGAATCTGGGTTCCCGTAAAGGATTGCATTTATAAAATTGAATTCTGTCTTCCCTTCCTTCTTTCTCATTCATTCATTCATTGACACTGAGCACCCATCGTGTACAAGACAATTTTCTTTTTCTTTTCTTTTTTTTTTAAGAGGGAGAGACAGGGTGGGGTGGCAGAGGGAAAGGGAGAGAGAGAATCCCAAGCAGGCTCCAGGCACAAAGCCTGATGAGGGGCTCCATCTCATAAACCTGAGATCATGACCCAAGCTGAAACCAAGAGTCAGACGCTTAACCAGCTGAGCCACCCAGGCACCCCCAAAGACAGTTTTCAAGGTGCTAGTCCTTTTCTCACTTCCCCCCCTTTCTATCATTTTTATTATCAATTTATTTTTATTATCAATTTTGATACTCTCTTGAGAATGGAGGGCAAGTTGAATGAAAAGTTCCTAACATCAGAATATTCATTCCCCTCTTGTCTCTGTTCTCTACCCATTGCTCAGCTTCCCCAATATGTGCTCACATACTTTTTCCTAGCTCTCGGCTCCCTTTCTACAATATTTTGTTTTAGTCCAGAATGACTTCTTACAGTGGAGCATTCCATGGAGAAATTCTAAGTTTCGGCCGCAGAAGTGTTGCTCTGGCTGCTTTATTGAAGAAATTCCCCACTTTTAAGTTTTAGCGCTTCATCCCACCACACGTCAGTCTTACATCCTGGGTAAGCAGCGCTAATAGTTCAGATTCCAGATTTGACAACTGTATGCACATATTCAGTTCTCTTTCCTGTTTGCTCTCCTGTTTCCTGATTCCATATACCTCCCTCCTCCCCCGCCTCACCTCAGGAGCTCCGTGCCGATGTACATATATAAATTCATGCGGAAGAGAAAAGGGGAGGCAGGGAAGAGGTTCTGCTCGTCTAATACAGCGGCGGTCCTACAGCAGCACCTGGCAGAGACTTCAGGAAATGTTTTCTCTTCTCTTTGCTGTGCTGTCACGAACCTTCCAGAGCACATGGTTGTCCTTCAAGATGAGAGTTCAAACCACATGCTTTTGTGGATTCACTCACCAACTGAATAGAGGTTTAGAAGACATGCCTCACCAGCTTTTGAACAATCGCTCAGGAAATACATTTTTATTTGAATGTTAGGTGATTGAGGGCGATTCATTTATAGTGGGCGCATTTTAAGCTAGGTCGCATCAAGTTGACTCTGGTTTAAAAAGCATCCTTTATAAAGTGGGAAAAAATGAAAATACCACCAAGTCTGTAAAATTTAAGTACATGATGATATTTTCTGCCCAAACCCCTGTTTTTTTCCAGTCATAGGCAGTCATAATCCATAATCAAGGAGCAACTAGGAGCTCTCAGCCCCTGTCTCCAGGGCTGCCATAGCTATGTCCTCAGTGTGGCTGGGCTGAGCCTGCCCCTCCCCGGCATCCAGCCTCCAGGGTGGTCAGGGATTCCTTTACCAGCGCCTCCGCCTGGGACTGAGGGTTTGGAGGCATTGGCCCTCAGGGGCCCTCGGCCTCCCCGCCTGCGCTGAGCACCCTCTCTTCGCTGCCATACTTCTGCCCCTGCAGGAGCTCCGCACCTGGGAGGAGGAGCTGACGCGGGCCGCGCTCCAGCAGAAGACCCAGGAGGAGCTGCTGCGGCGCCGCGAGCAGGAGCTGGCCGAGCGGGAGATCGACATCCTGGAGCGGGAGCTCAACATCATCATCCACCAGCTGTGCCAGGAGAAGCCCCGGGTGAAGAAACGCAAGGGCAAGTTCAGGAAGAGCCGGCTGAAGCTCAAGGATGGGAACCGCATCAGCCTCCCTTCCGGTCAGTGGCCGGGGACCTGCTGGGAGGTGGAAGGGCAGGGTGGCAGGCTGTGTGGCCAGGGACCTGGGGGAGCTGGGGACGGGCTGGGAGGCAGGAGGCTCTGGGTCTCCGAACGGGGCAGGGTCGAAGTGGGCTGTTCCATTCAGGGGGGAAGACTGGCCCACGGCCAAGCTACCCTGCTCCGGAGGAGTTGTTGAGTGTGACTAAACACAGACCGGGAAGGAAGACAAACCGGTGACGGGCGAACCTGACAGGCAGGCATGGTCCAGACTGCTAGCAGCATGGTGGCTCACATGGAGAACTCAGGGCTCTGCAGAATAGCTCATCTCAGGGTTTCTCTAAATAACTAGTTTCTGCATACAGTTGAGATTAGGATTCACAGGTAGGAATTTGATTTGCATACAACCTTTCAGAAGCATGTTAGGTGAATAAAGGTACATTTGTAGGATATTCAGCCTTGGGAAAATGCAAAGTAATAGGAAACTATGAATTAGAATCTTTATGGGGAGGTGAGGGCTCAAGTGTGTGTTTATTGTATTCTAAGCCTATAAGGTCCTGGGAAGCAAACTCAGTTAGGGGTGTAAGGACACCAAGGGAAAATAGTGTCATAGGGGCAGTAGCGGAGGATTTTAAGCACCGGGATGATGGCTTCAGCACAGACAAGGGAATTCGTTCAGTGACCTGCAGTGGATGAATTTGTGCGACATGTTTACCAGTGTCCTTTTTGCACATTTTCCTGGCCAGGCAACACAGAGTCTGTGAGCCCCACTTGGCATGTCGCATGTGGTGTTAAGCTGCTGTGAGCTGGGGAAGCTCAGAAGGAAACAGTAGCTCCCTCCTTCAGGGAGATCACGTCTAGTCAGGGGACCTACGGGCAGACACTCAGCTGTTTATTACACCTCTTGATAGATGAGGACACTGGGACTTAGCAATCCAGGGCTATAAGATTTACCTTCTTTATGCTGTGCTGTGCCTGTCTTTGGAAAATGTCACAGTTTGGACCATTAGCCCCATGCGCTCACTTTCCTAGGTTCCCACCAAGGATTAGTCCTTATTACTCTGCTCTGCCTGCCCTTAGTGAGAAGCATCCGTCTCCCTGCTTTGGTCCCTGAGAAAAGGGGGCCTGTCCTAATAGATTGTAAGAAACAGAATTGTAAGTTAGATTTCCTAGAATAATCAGCAAGTCTCCTGATCTTAAGAAAACTATTATAAATCTGTGATTACTACACCTATGTACACTGTAGATGAGGTTGACTTGGAGAGTGAATTTTCCTTCTCCTCATACGTTCATCTTGCTGTCCTGCCATCTTTGCGGAGAAAGAGATGATTCTGAAAAGGAACGTTTCCCAGGCGAACAAGTCACTTCTTAGGAAACAAGGGCCTGTCCCTCAAGCCTGCCAGGAGATACCACTTTTCTCACAGGACCTGGGTTATGGGAAAATTCTAATGCACACGCATGTCTGTCTTTCCCCAAGCAGATTTCCAGCACAAGTTCACGGTTCAGGCCTCCCCCACCATGGATAAAAGGAAGAGTCTCATCAACAGCCGCTCCAGTCCTCCTGCGAGCCCCACCATCATTCCTCGCCTTCGAGCCATCCAGTGTGAGACTGTTTGCCAAATTAGTTGGGGCCAGAACACACCAGGGGCATCTGTCCCCTGCTCTGTCCAGCCACCGACTGGCCCAGGCTTGCTCCATCCATAACTTCTGCCACCTCTCCTCGGCAATGTGTATATACATGCACATATGTACGCAAACCCTTAGCGCTCCTTCTTGTCTCTCTCCATTAGCTTTATACTACTGCTCCCCTGCTTTTCTTCTTAGAGACCAGCAGAGAGGTTTGTGGGTATTAATGGGATCTTTCGTGAACCACAAAGCAATTCGGAAACTGGTGTGTGATGTAGATAGCCTGGTACCTGGCCTGGGTTGGTTGGTACCCTGGCCTGGGGACCCTGTGTGTGCTCTGCCATATTTGGGGCATTGTTGTTTTTCTTTTGTTCATGCTTCCCAGGGAAGGGTGTTTTCAAAGTGTAGATCCTAAGGGAACTTGCCAAATACTTTGTGATAGGCCAAGTCTGGACCAATTTTATTTTTACCACAGTGTTTATTAAAAAGAATTTACACACACATGTGTGTGTATGAATGGAGTCGTTTCCCTAACTTAGAGATTTCACTTAAAAACAAAAACAAAAAACAAACCCTAGCTGGCTGTCCTTGGAAAATCCATTCATATCTGTGGATTCCCATTTTTCATGTGCCCACAGTTGACTAGAAGCAATGGCGGCTTCCATATGCTCTGTATTTTGCCTCAGGCCCCTCAGCTCCTGTTTTTTTGGTGTCTGAAACCATCCGGTCACTTATGATGTAAGCCTAGTCTCTGAAGCATTTGGGTTTCAACTTTTGCTATAAGGTAGCAATGTCAGAAGAACGTTCCTCCTCTTATCTATTGTATTTCTCTAGGCCTGTTCCTTCCCCTTCTCCTCCTACTCCTGACTTCCTGCTCCATAGTCTTGAGCTCCTCATTGTCTTCCTTTCTTACCAAAATTCTTTTCTGCACTTCCAAGTCTTCCTTACCCCCTTATCTTTTTTTCTCTCCTACCTATCTCCTTCCCTACCCACTCCCAGTCCAGTTCCACCCAACAAAACAAGTTCCTTAAGTCAGATCTGTTTGGAACTCTGATGTCTGGCTGGCCTGAGCTCCAGCTTTGTGTTGGACGCAAATTAGGAGAATCTGGGATGTTTTTCCATGTTTGGTACTTTGAGAGTGCTCAGTGATTGGTACCTAAGGACTTGAAGGCTCCACTTGGGCACAGAGTTTTCGAGGAGGTGTGACTTCTTCCCTGCGACTCCATATATGTGTGTGTATGTCTGTGTCTGTCTGGTGAGGTAGAGGCTAGTTTTGGGGGGACCCTGTCTATCTTTTTTCTAGGTCCCATCCAACTTTTGTTATTCACAGTGACACCAGGTGAAAACAGCAAAACCTGGGGCCGGAGCTCAGTCATCCCGAAAGAGGAAGGGGAGGAGGAGGAGAAGAGGGCCCCGAAGAAGAAAGGACGGACGTGGGGGCCAAGTACGCTTGGTCAGAAGGAGCTCGCCTCGGGAGATGAAGGGTAAGAGCCAGAATGCGGGAGATTCTTTCTGCTTAAAGATGGGTATTCCCTTTTAAAACTATGATGTGAAGTACTTTTTCTCTGTTGTGTGTCCCATTGCTTTCTGAGAAATTACAAGCCTCTTGCTCTTTGCAACGGTTTTCCAATCTCCTTGCTCCCTGGAACCTCCCCTAGGACGGGGCTCAGCATACTTTTTGTATAAAGGGTCAGACAGTAAATATTTTAGGCTCTGAGGGTCCTACAATCTCTTTGGCAGTCCCTCCGCTCCTGTGTTTCAGTACGAAAGCAACAGGCCACGGGCCGTACATAAATGAAGGTGCGCGCCTGTGTTTACTCAGTAAAACTTTATAAACAGGCGGTGGACACGAGTTGGCCCTCCAGGTATAGTTTGCTGACCCCTGAAGGCGTCTGACTCAGAGCAGCAAGTAGATCAAGCGGTAACCGAACGTGGAGAGTTCTACCAGATGTTCTACTTCTGTCTGGCTCTTCCCCTTCGATCATCCGCTCAGAGCCAAGAGAAGGAAGAGCAGGGCTTACAGGACTCTCTCGACTTGGAGGCTTATCCCAACGCAGGGGCGGACGGAATAATCCAGCCCTGGTAGTCAGTGCACTCAGATGTTAACTCCGAGGCCACCGGAACTTCTTCTTTTTTTTTATTTATTTAAATCTAATTAATTAACAGTTTCAGAGGGTAGTGTTCAGTGATGCATCAGTCTTCTATAACACCCTGTGCTCATGACATCACGGGCCCACTAGAACTTCTTTTAGGCCTCACCTCATAGCCACCCTGACAGGTGTGAGCACACCCTCTGGGCAAAGCACAAGACCCAGCTTTGTGCCTGGGATGTGCTTGTGTTCTTCCTGTGGCTTTCAAGTTAAATTCTCTCAAGTCCCAGTTCTTGGGCGGCCAGTCCCTCATAGGGAGTTAAGCAGTGGCGAGCGTCACTGCTGACCCCAGCCTGCCTCGCCGTGTGGCCTTATGTTTTCTCGTCCGTAAAACGGGGGTTATGCCAGCACCCCCCTCGTGGAGTTGATGCAAGGATTAAATACGTTCCTCTTTGGGAAGTGCTGGCAAGATTAGCTGGCTCGTAGTGAGCCTATGTGAATATCTGCCGTGATGGTTCTTCTGCGCTTCTCATGCAATTTCTGTTTCACACCTGAAGAACGAGCGTAGTAGTTTGCAGTTCTTATTCTTGGTGTTAGAATCTAGAATCCCCTTTCTTGACTTTTCTAAGTGTGAGAAGCAGCAGCAACCCCCTTCTCCCTTTTCAGTGACTTTCCTGAGCTTGTGCCTGGACCTGGACCTGGCTCTGGTATTCCTTTGAGTCCTAAGATTTCAGGTCCCAAATTTTTTTTCTCATGTCAGATCGGAGCTAAAGGTGAAAATACCAATTTGGTTGCATAAAGGATTGACTCTTTGAAGCCAGGCTTTAGAAATCACTTAGATGGCTTGGAAGAGGGAAAAGGAAGGAAGGAAGGAAGGGGAAGAGGAAGAAAGGAAGAGAGAGAAAGACAAAGGAAGAAAGGAAGGAAGGAAGGAGAAGGAGAAAGAGAAGGAGAAGGAGAAGGAAGGGAAGATTTAGGTATGTAGGGCCAATTGCCTAAGCTCCATGAGAGTTCCGTGACTGAGTCCTCTATGAGTCCTCGAGGAATGGTAAATTGCTCTGCTCTAGTAGGTTCTGTAGGGGCAAGAGCTCCTCAGTTTGATTTCCCTTGAGCCCTGGGGTCGAGTAGGGTTGAGGTGGGTCTGAGAAGCTCAGTCACCCTGAATCCCTTGGTATTTCTGACATTCGTGTGATTCCTGATAGGATTTACCAGGTTGGCTGTGGGTCCCAGTAGTTTCTCTAGTTCTGTTTCATTTATAGATATTTTTTTGTCTTGCTAGTAAATTAACTTTATTTCACATTCCAAAATATTAATTTTGGCATTTTCTTCCCCCTTGCATAGATTTGTCCTCAAAACTGTTGAAACAGTTCAAAATACGACTTAATTTTTTATGATTCTCAATTCCTATTCAAGAAATAAAGTATATTCCATTCATTCTCGAGTAAAGACCTCTTTAATGGCAGAAATTTTTGAGTCTCTGTGTGACAGTATTTCTAGTTTTAGTCCCTATTAACAGAAGAAAATATGTAACAATAAAAAGCTATATTGAATTCAGTAATGTTAAGTGAATTTGCATCTCCATCCTTTTAAAAAATAGTATTTATCTTATAGGAAACATGTACTTGCTCGTAGACAGCTTGGGTGTCTGTGGATTCACGTGGTCTCTGCAATTACGCTGTGGTGGCTTGGGGACCTTTGTCCCACAGATTGGGAGGTCCTGGGCCTGTGGCAGCTCAGGCGCGGCCACCTCGTTAAGGTTCCTGCATGGTGTGGGTTGTGCTGACCGGGCAGGAGGAAGGCAGCTGGCCACATGGCTGGAGTCCAGCCTTAAGGGCTCCCATGTGGGAGAGGCTGAGTTGGATGTACCCACTGTCGCCTACTACTGATTTTCTTTATTTGTTGAAGATCCCCTCAGAGACGTGAGAAAGCTAATGGTTTAAGTACCCCATCAGAATCTCCACATTTCCACCTGGGGTGAGTCTAATCGTCACCCTTCCATCAGATGTGTTCATAATAGTCCCCCTTCCATTTCCTTGTTCTCACGGCACACCCCGTAGAATCGAGCGTCATTATTGCCAAGGCTGTGCTGACTTTTTTCTTTAAAGCGGTACCCTCGTGCACGCTGGGAGCTTCCTGTGTTGGTCTGACTTTCCCTTTTCTCCCTTCCCTGACCACTCCTGTTGTTGGGATTCTCCTGGCACCCCTAGTTATAGGGCGATGACACAAGGCTATTTATCCTTTCATCTTTAGCACTGGCTTTGACTTTGCTAATCTGGATTCCCTTGAACCCAGAGCTGGAGGTGATGTTAGAAGATTATCAGTTAGAAGTCCCAGGCTGTGGGTTTAGTAGCATGCTTATCTCTGGCTGTGTATTTTGGTGGAAACCACGGGTGGCTGGAATGTACTTGAATTCGCTGGTAGCGAATTTCTGATAGCACTTGAAACAGAGATCTGAAATGAGGGGAAACCATTGGTCCTTCTCTCTCCCTCAGGATGGACTGGGAAGAGTGGGCTTTATTTGAATAGCTTTTTCTGGCCCTGAAATGAGAGCCCCTTCTGATTATAATCCTGGTATTTCCAAGGCAACGATAACCCACAGATTTCCTCAGTCTTCCCTCTTTACTGTCCGTTAGAGAAAAGACCAGTGCTGCTGGGTCTCTGATTCCCCTATCATATGAGGGGGTTGGTGGGGTACCCCGTCAGGATCCTCAGAGTTACTGGCTTGTGAGTCTGAGCTCATCACAGGGACTTGAAAGCAAGCTCTTGCCCTTTTCCTCTCCGTTCCCAGACAAACCAGGGGCTCGAGTACAGTATTATGTACTCCCCACATAGGTCTGTCCCAAAGTGCACTGGGTTGGTGCAGCTTTGTTGGCTGGTTTTTGTTTTTAAAAAGTGGCTGGCAAAAAAAAAGAAAAAAAGAAAAAAAAAGTGGCTGGCTTTGAAAGTTGCCTAAGCATGCCATAAGCTTGGCAGGAGTGGAGGATGCGGTCTGAGTGGAGTAGCCTGGCCCGTCCATGTCTGCTAGCTCATCTGCCCGGGGCTTGCCTGGCATCGCAGTGTCCCCTGATGTCAGCACTGTGCTGTAGACAGTGTCCCGGAGTGATGGCCTCTCGTGGAAGATGGGCTCGGGCAAGACCTGGGCCAGTGCTGGGCAGCCCTCATTCTTCCTGTCCTCTTGCCAGCCTGCCTGCTAGATCTTTCCCCAGCTCCATAACATGTGAAGGGGTGGGTTCATGGCCCTGCTTTTCTTTTCCTAGAGCATGTGCACTTCTGTTTGTGATGCGAGGGGACTCAGTTATGTTTGTTGCCTGTACCCCAAGGCTCTTGGGCTTTGGTGGAATTAAGCTCACAGGGAGAGACTTTTGCACAGGCCCGTGGAGGTGAGAGTGGAGTAAGGGAAGTAACCAGTTCTCACAGTTTCCTCGTTTCCTCCCATTTAGCCTCAAGTCCCTGGTAGATGGATACAAACAGTGGTCGTCCAGTGCCCCCAATCTGGGGAAGGGCCCGAGGAGTAGCCCAGCCCTGCCAGGGTTCACCAGCCTTATGGAGATGGGTGAGCATTGCCTTTGTCCTGACTGTCCCTGTTTCCTCAGGGAAATTTCGGCCAAGCTTCTGGGACTGTTTGAGGACCCCTAGTGCCACTTCATGGGTGTCGTCTCCTCTTTTACCCAACTCCCAGGCCCCCACCCACTTCCTTCTTCGCTTGCTCTACTCCCATTTCATCGAACCTTCCCAAATCACAGTTTCTTCCTACTACTGCCATGGGGCCTGCCCTTGGCCTCCTATCCCAGGGAGGCAGGTATAGTCTCCTAAGGGCAGTGCAGAGGGTGAGGCCTTGAATCAGGCATTTTCCTTTGCTGGGTCACTTTCCTTTGTATCTTAATGTGGGGAGTCTGCAAAACAGGAGATGGTTTCTTCCTTTCTCCAAGGAAGCTTTCCATTTGCCTGTGCTTGCTGAATGGGTAAGGTCTCCTCCAGGCTCTCTGTCAGACAGTAAGTCCTCTTCTCTCTGAAGATCTCCAAGGTCATAGTAGGTCAGTTTATAGAGTAGATGCACCTTCACCTGGGGAGGGGATTCCAATCCATTGCTCTTAGAGGGGTCTCTAGGCCATCCTAGAAATTCAAGGCCCCTTCCACTTTTAAGGTGCAAAAAAGTTAGGAATGTTTCTGTTCTACCCACTATTCTAGGAAATTCACACTGTACCTCTTGTGTTGAGGGTCCCAATGAAAGAAGTAGAAAAGTAGCAGATTTCCTTTTCTGAAAACAGGAAAAGAGGCTCTGGAATGGAGAGTGATTTCCTCGTGTTGGTCACAGTTGAGTGTGGAGGACTAAAGCTCTGTGGGTTCAATGCCTGGTTCCTTATCCCACCCATGAGACTCTTAACTTTGAATTCCTGATGCTCCACCAGGAGGCCCGGGGCTGGGAAGAAGGACGAGATTCTTACTCTTGCTGCTTCATTCCCATTTCCTGTTTCCCCTCCTTTCCTCTCTTCTTCACAGAGGATGAGGACAGCGAAGGCCCAAGGAGTGGGGAGAGTCGTCTGCAGCATTCACCCAACCAGTCCTACCTCTGTATCCCATTCCCTCGTGGAGAGGATGGAGAGGGCCCCTGCAGTGATGGAGTCCACGAGGAGCCCACCCCAGTCAACTCAGCCACCAGTACCCCTCAGCTGACGCCCACCAACAGCCTCAAGCGGGGCGGCGGCCACCACCGCCGTTGTGAGGTGGCTCTGCTCGGCTGTGGGGCTGTTCTCGCGGCCACCGGCCTAGGGTTCGACCTGCTGGAAGCTGGCAAGTACCAGCTGCTTCCCCCGGAGGAGCCTGAGCCCCCAGCCCGGGAGGAGAAGAAGAGGCGTGAGAGTCTTTTCCAGAGGGCCAGCCGTCCTCGTCGGAGCACCAGCCCCCCATCCCGGAAGCTCTTCAAGAAGGAGGAGCCCATGCTGTTGCTAGGAGACCCCTCTGCCTCCCTAACGCTGCTTTCTCTCTCCTCCATCTCCGAGTGCAACTCCACCCGCTCCCTGCTGCGTTCCGACAGCGATGAGATCGTGGTGTACGAGATGCCCATCAGTCCGGTCGAGGCCCCACCCCTGAGCCCCTGCACCCACAACCCCCTGGTCAACGTCCGAGTGGAGCGCTTCAAACGAGACCCTAACCAATCCCTGACTCCTACCCACGTCACCCTCACGGCCCCCACGCAGCCCAGTGGCCACCGGCGGACTCCTTCTGACGGGGCCCTCAAGCCAGCGGCTCTCCTAGCCAGCAGGAGCCCCTCCAGCAATGGGTTGAGCCCCAGCCCTGGAGCAGGTGAGTCCTGCCCTCCTCCTCTTTTCTCTTTCCTGCCTTTGTGCCTCCCCCTGGAGTGCAGTACTGGAGTGGATGCCATCCCTCCTTTGGCTCAGCCCACCGGGACATGCTGCCCTGGGGTTGGAGAGGTGGCCAGGCTGGCTACCTTTTCTCTGGGGGGAGATGCCTCCGTCGGGGGAGACAGCTTCTAGGAAGGATCAGGCCCAGGGCTCCCGTGGGAAATTCGGGCTCTGGGTCTTGGAGTGCACAGCGCCGTGCCTGCAGGGTGTGGGGGGGGTGGTGCAGGCAGGGGCCTAGCCCCCTTGTTCCCGGAAGTGGAGACCGACGTTCCTGGAAGGAGTGCCGCACTGCACTAGGAGGGGTGTTCGGTGCCACGTGGCTGGGCTCGTGCCTGGCATACTCACAGGCCAGCTTCCTCCTGTGCATCCTGCCCCGCATCACTCGTCCCTTACTCATTGCTGACTCCCCGGACGTGGAGAGGGATGCAGGTAAATTGCTGAGCCCGGCATATGCCTGCCTTCTCTGTCTGACACCCAGCCACCTGGCTGTAGGTAACCCAGGTCGTTCCCACCACCATCCCCTGCTCCCTAGAGACCTACATCTTACTCGGAAACCCCTCTCACCCAGTAGAAGACGACCAGATGGCAACTGAGAGTTCAGTGATCTTTTTTTTTTTTTTTAAGTTATCAACTTTATTAAAAATAATTTTAACAAAGGAAATGATAGGAACAGACATTTGACAGGAAAGTAAAATATAAGAATATAAAGAGGACAGCTCCTGTATTAAGGTTCTTCAGAGTAATAGAACCAATAGCATGTGTCTGTCTGTCTGTCTGTCTATAGAGAGATTTATTTTAAGGAATTGGTTCACATGATTGTGGAGGCTGGCAATTCAAAATCTGCAGGGTAGGCTGGCAGGCTGAAGATCCAGGAAAGAATTGATGTTGTAGTTCAAGTCTGAAGGCAGTGTGCCAACAGAATTTCATCTTCCTTAGGGAAGGTCAGTCTTTTACTATTAAGTCCTTTAACTGATCAGATGAGGACCACCCACATTATTGAGGGTAATTAAATGTTATCAAAACTATGCCTTCTCTTCTTTAAAAAGTGACAGCAGTTATAAACTGGAAATTCACTTAAGAAATACCAAACCTCATCCACAAGCATAACTATACTAAGTGAAACAGTAGGGTATGTTTTACCAATTACATTTGGCAAAATTTATAATTTGGTAATATTTATTTTTTAAGAGAGTTCAGTGATCTTTGAGTGTAAACGACAGTTGTATTTTCCCCTTCGGCTTGTCCCTCCCCTCTTTAGATTTTTTTTTTGTTGAACTCAGATGTGTGTCCCCTTTGGGAATCAGACCTTATGACTCATCTTTGGAATTCTGATGCCTAGATTTGTTCCTGCCTCCCATGTTTATTCACTGAATGAACTGGGAATAAGCAGACCCTTCCTTGAGTCTCAGGGGTCGGCTAACTTTCTTAGTAAAGGGCCAGATGGTAAATATTTTAGGCTTTGTGGGTCCCATGGTCTCTGTTGTAACTACTCAGCACTGCTGCCCCAGTGGGAGAGCGAGTAATTGGTGTGGCTGTGTTACACTAAAGCTTTATCTGTCAACACAGGGTGGCCCGTGGGGCCTAGTTCTGCCTTAAGCTTCTTCATTACAGATATGGCCTCCATATGTCCCGTGATTATTTTTATTATCAGATACAGTGCTCATGGCCTTCTGGTCCACTACTATATCCCCAGTGCCTCCCAGCACACTGCATGGCACACAGTAGGTGCTCATTAAACATCTGTTAGTCGGGTTAGTCCCAGTGACTAGGGATGTGGCAGCTGGGGGCTGGGGAGCAGTGTATACCTGGCCCAGAAATGTGGCGTTGTCATCTGATGCTTCTCCCTCTGTCTCTTTGACCAGGAATGTTGAAAACCCCCAGCCCCAGCCGAGACCCAGGTGAATTCCCCCGTCTCCCTGACCCCAATGTGGTCTTTCCCCCAACCCCAAGGCGCTGGAACACACAGCAGGACTCCACCCTGGAGAGACCCAAGACCCTGGAGTTTTTGCCTCGGCCACGTCCTTCTGCCAACCGGCAACGGCTGGACCCTTGGTGGTTCGTGTCCCCCAGCCACGCCCGCAGCGCCTCCCCAGCCAACAGCTCCAGCACGGAGACGCCCAGCAACCTGGACTCCTGCCTTGCGAGCAGCAGCAGCACTGTGGAGGAGCGGCCTGGACTTCCCGCCTTGCTCCCGTTCCAGGCGGGGCCGCTGCCCCCCGCCGAGCGGACGCTTCTGGACCTGGACGCAGAGGGCCAGAGTCAGGACAGCACTGTGCCACTGTGCAGAGCTGAACTGAACACACACAGGCCTGCCCCTTATGAGATTCAGCAAGAGTTCTGGTCTTAGCATGAAAAGGGTTGGGGGGTGGCCAAGGGGGAAGCAGGAGGAGATCGGGGGAGCTGGCTGGCACAGCCCTTTCTCAGAGTTGGACCCCCTGAAATCCAGCCCTACTTCTTGCACTGATAATGCACTTTGAAGATGGAAGGGTGGAAGCGGGGCCACTTCAGAGGGTCCCCTGCCCTGCAGGGCCTTTCTGCCCACGTCCACCGGAAGGGGCTGTGGCCATCAGCTCTGGCTGTGTAGGGGAGGGAGGGGTGCGTGCATGTCCCCCAGCCTCCACACTCTTCCTCGCCTTTAGGGTGACCCCACAGGGTCACTCAGCCAAATCTGTCTGCTGCCCCCTTTCCTTGGCCCCCCTCCGGGCTTGAAAAAAGCCCGGAGCCTGTCCTGGAATCCTTTTGTTAGCCCTGCCGTCCGCCTTCCCAAACACCAGTGTTGGAGGTTCTGTGAGTGATTTTCTTCCTCTTCTACGTTCTTCCCCAACACCCATGAATCAGAATCTTAGTTGGAGTGAGATAGTTTTTCTGTGTCCTCAGCCCTTATGTGCCAGCTGGGGGACCAAAGGCACGGTGCCCCAGCGTGGGGCACAGGAGTTGATGGACCTGGCAGTGACCTGCCTGCGCTTCCAGGTGCCCCCTGATTTAGTTGAGCCTCGCAGGGGTGAAGGGACCTGCCTCAGTGAGAACTGTGAGGGGAGGAGAAGGAGTCAGGAAACCCAGAGTCGAGTGGCAGCCAAGAGGGTCACAGAGTCTGTCCTTGTTCCTTTTGGAAACATGCAAATAAGGGCAGAAACCAGCACCTGTTGATGGCATCCAGCTCCCACCTGGGGTCTGGACGCAGCCAGACCCGTGTCTGCCACAAACATGCTCATCCCAGGGATCGTTTCTTGGGAGGCGCACTCCCCGGTGCCAGTCCTGGAACCAGAGACAAAGTTCCTGCGCTGGTCCATTTTGTTGTCTGATCTTTATGTGTCACGCCCTTCCCTTGATCTTTCCTCCCATCCCTGGGATCAGTGGACTTTGGGTTATGAGTTTGGCTGGTAGAGACTTTGCACTGCTCCGAAAGAGCATATCGGTGGGGGGTGGGCTGGGGGCTCCTGGACACTGGGAGCTGGAACTGGGAGGATTTCTTCTCAGCCAGGCCATCCATTCTGGGATACCCTTGAAGGAAAACGGAGCCTTAGTGGTACCTTCCGCAAACGGATACGGTGAGGCCATGATGTTTGTAAGGTGCTTAGTGAGCCCCCAATGTGACGCAAGCTTTGAGCCCCAGGCTCTGCAGACTGACCACGGCCTCTTGTCTCTATGCACAGGTGGCCCCTGATGCTGGGCTCTGGACCCTGAGCTGGGTCAGAAGGAGAGCAGAGGCCAACCCCGACTTTTCTGGAATTTGTTTCCTTAACTTGAATGTTGAGTTGTTTCTGGAGCTTTCTCCTGTGTACCTTCACTTTTCCACTTACCCTGAGGCCTCCTGTATTGAGTGTGAACAGTTTTCTTTGTGCGGGACACACACATAAACCCGATGGGGAGCAGAGCCTTTGGTCATGCTCCTCTCCCCTCCAGACTCTCCAAATGTTGCTTCACTGTCCTCTATCATGGAATAGTTCCCTGGAGATGTTGCAGGACAGCCCGCAGGCTCCCTGCCTTTGCTGCCTGGAGGCCAGAATGTGGGGAGCGACAGAGCTGGCTCAGGTAATGCGTTTGGTCACTGCTCCGTCTCTCTCTGTAACTGATAATGTCCCAACCTGGGAATGAAAAAAGGGGTGACCTTGGTTTTCAAATTGCTCCTTGTTTTATGAGCTCCCTGGCACTTTGGTTCAAGGGCGCCACCTCATCTTGGGTGGGAGGCACTCTCAGTGTGTTGCCTCCCGGGGCTTTGCTGTTGTGTCTCATCTCTCCTTTGCTTTGTGCAGGGAAGACTGTAAGAGAGGATTTTTGCCTCCGTCCCCTCACTCCTTGGCCAGAAGGGGAAAAATGGGAATCTTAGCCACAGTTCCAGCCAACCAAGTGACTCCCCTTCATTCTTGATGGGGAGAGGGCTGCAGATGGTCTCTTCTGTGCCCTTCCCTGGACTCTCCATAGCCCCAGTTCCTAAGTCACGAATGCATCTGTGAACGCTTGGCTCCACTGAATGGCCCTTCGGTGGGGTGCAGCATACAGCAAAATCCAAACCCTGCTGGCTCTGGACAGTGCTCTGTGCTGTGAGGCAATTGACTGTTTTCTACTTTTTGTTGTTTTTTTGAGGCTGCAGCCATCTTTTTTGGAAGTGGTTGTGTAACTGTTGGCAGTGTAGGCTGAATGGTGGCCACTTGGCATTGAGTGAGAGGTGGAACCCGTTTCTTACTCCCCCATCCAGAGGGAAGACAAGGGAAGCCTGGGTCTGCTGAGGGTAGAATTGCACATGCAAGAGGCATAAGCAGGGTTAGGCTGAAGTTGCTTCGGTGAGCTGGCATGAAGATGGAGGGGTTCTTTCTCAGCTCCTCCAAACCCTGTCTCGCCCTGATGGGCCCCTGCCTGCCACACTCTCTCTGTCTCTGTGGGGCGAGGCTTGGCTTGATAAGGATCCTGTATAGTAATGGGTTGGAGTTGCTTTGTGATGGGCCCTGCCGGCCACACTCTGTCTCTGTGGGGCGAGGCTTGGTTTGATAAGGATCCTGTATAGTAATGGGTTGGAGTTGCTTTGTGTCCACTTCGGCTCCCTGGTGTCTGTGGTCATGGTCAGGAGCAGGACTTGAAGCTGGGATCCCCTGCAGTGGCATTAACCAGCATCTCCTGTTCTCTTTCCTCAGGAACACTTTCCCTCTGCTCTTGGCAGGTGCTCACTACTGGAAGATGGTGATAGAAAGCAGATACTGCTCTCTGCTCTTCCTCCTTGGATCCTTCCATGGATTCTAAACAGGATTATCCTCGATTTACCCCCTTGGGGATCCAGGCCACTGCCAGGGGCTGAGTGGATGTCCCCATTTTCCCAATATGTTATTTCTAAGAGGCTTTGGTGGATGTTCTTCACTTCACATCCTTTAGTATCCCAAGGGTCTGGTGGTGATGATGAAGGTGGTGATGATGATATTTTACATGGGTCAACTCAGAACAATGCTAACCTTTCCTCCTGACTTTACAAAATGGCATCATTGTCCTGATATACTTGCTGGTAGAGAAGAGGAAATGCTTAAAGAGGAAGAAATTCAAAGGAAGAGAAATTGAAAAGCTGCTTGGGCTGGCTGCTGAGTCAGGCACCGAGCTCTTGAGCCCCGAACAAGGTGGCTCTCTCCCACTTTCTGCTTCGGTCTCTGGCCTCAGGCTTGGTTTTTAGCTCCTCTCAAATTTCCTTACCTGCTTCCCTGTCAAGGGCAATGAGGACATGTATCCGAGCAGGTCAGCAGAGCACGCAGCTCCCTGCAGGCCGTTAGGATGGACTGCTGACATTAACAGTGTGGTTCTCACCACTTTTGCCTCTAAGGGACTTGCCTACTGTTCCTTCCTTTGGTTTCTGGAAGAGTGGTGATTTGGAGTTGGCTTAGCATGGGGGCCATGGTCAGGCACATGTTCTTCTGCATTTGTGTAGCTCCTGGTGTTTATAAGCATCCTTTCTACTCTGCCCACTTGTCAGGCTGGCCCTCACCATTAGTGTCTTAGGAAGGAGGAACTAGGAGACGGGGAGGTTGGAGGCAGCATTGGAATGACAGTTGGGGGCCTCGGATTTTTTAGGAGTCATTCCCAGAGTCAGCTTTGTTTAGAGACTGGAATCAGGCCAATTCCTGGAAGAATCTTTGTGAGAAGGTCCGCTGAGCCTTGAGACACGTGTCTTAGTGTGAGGCTCTTTACAAGGCCCCTTTTCCCTCAGACCACAGTTGCTCAGGGACACAACAAGACACCCCAAGAGCACCTAGGTGTGGCTTGTTGTCAACGCTCTTACTCCTCAGTCCCCACAGTGGAGACCCCCTCCTCCCTCCATCCCCCCACAAGAGGGAGACACCTCCTGAGCGCTGCTAACTCTTCAAGCTTGCTATTAACGAAAGCAAGGAGCAGCAGGCTCTGAAGGCCGGATGGCTGTGAATGGTGTGCTTCGGGGAGCCTCGACCTTTTCCTCGTGTGTTTAATTAAGCCTGTGCTTTTGACTCAGGGATGTGAGGGCCCCCCTTCAGGCAGGTGAGAAACACTCCACTGCCTCTTGAAGGATTTGGGGGACAAAGCAGATGTTGCCCTTGCTGTAGTGCGAGGCTTTTCCCGAAAGCTCTGCCAGAGACTGTGGCCCCGGGTCAGAGGTGAGAGCAGCCCGCAGCATGCTGTGATCCTAAGGGACTGTGGTGGCGGGAGTGGCAGGCTAGTGGTAACCTGAGCTGCCTCCATACTAGTTGGGTGAAGTTGCAAATGTTTCTTCCCCTCTCTGGACCTCTGAGTCCAACCACGAACTGAGGGGGATGCTACCTTCTTCCCTGCCTGAAGCACGAAGCCCTTTAATTTCGAAATGTATGATCCTGGAACCCAAGGTCCAGCACGGATGAGCCTCACCTTGCTAGATCGCTTCCCTTTGTGGAGAAAATTGTGTGCGTGCATGCGTGCGTGCGTGTGTGTGTGTGTGTGTGTGGTTGTACGTCAAAACCAGTCGAATATTGGCAATTTCCTATGGTTCAACCTACTAAGCCACCTGCCTCTCTCCGTGGCTACAGGCCTGAGGATGACTCCTTGTCAAGCTACATTTGTTACTAGGAACACATTCTCAAATGCTCTCTTCTTTCAGACAAATCCTTGCTTTCTCAGATCAGGAATCCAAATTAGTGAAAATCCACATTAGAAAGGAGAACACACTGCTGCTTCTGGGAGTCCCTAGCACCTCCCTGGCCTTGCCACCTGGGCACTCGCCATCTCAGGCACTGGCGTTTGAAGGCAGGACACAGAGACTGGAGTCCTGGCTAATGAAGGCTAAGTAACGGGATTTGGGTGCCTTGTTAACCTGACTCAGCTCTGGGCTTCTGGTTGGCTGTACAGGCCAGGTGAGCCTCTCATCAGCTTCTCAGACTGTTGACTATTTTCCGTTGATCCTGATGAGATACCAACAGCACCCCCCCTCCTTTATTCATTTCCGGTCTTGGGCCCTGGAAGCACCGTGGCCTCGCCCTAGCATTTGTTGTTCTGAAGGTTGGGCTCCTTCCTTAATCTGGAGCCAGGAGGACTGCTCTTCCTGATTCCTTCTGCCTGTGGCTGCCTGCATCCCCCGCCCGTAGCCTTCCCCTGAGTCTCTCGCTCACTGCCGCAGCTAGATTAGAGAAGAGCCGTTGTGATGAGTTACATGCCCTTGGTCCCGAGTTGTAGCAAAGAAGGGAGGTGATGAACTCATCAGCTTTCTCCTCTGATTTTCCTCACTGTCCATCCTAAACACACACACACACAGACTCACACACTCACACACTCACATGCTTGCACACAGATTTAAACTATCTTCTGGAGGATAAAGGAAAAAGGTTGGAGATGGGTTTTACTTGGTTTGCAGAAATGCTTTCTTTGGGATTTTCCTCCCCATTAGAGCCTTTGAGTCTAGGTAAAGTGAAAGTTCACATTTGTGTTTGTTTTGTTTCTCTGGAATTAGCTACTAGTTTTCATCCCTAGGCTCCAGTGTCTTGTCCATATGTCCTGAGCCTGTGTCCTTGAATTCCCATTTTGCTTTGGGATTTAAGTTATTGTAATTTGTCAACAATATTTAAAAATAGAAAAGTCCTGAAGGAAACTTACCAGGTTCTTTTCTTTGGCTTTTTTTTTTTTTTCAAGGTACTGTAAATTGTTAACTAGGGATGCCAAGCAGGCTTGGTTCAATGGCTAAACCTCTTATCATATTACAGTGTAATGCTGATTCAGCCTGGTCCCACCACCAGAGCACACACAGACTTGAATAAAACTGTTACAACAATGACTTCTGGTTTGCCGTGTGCTTTGTAACCTTATCCTTTCCCCTCTTTTTAATCAAACAAAATGTCCAAGTAACTGGCTCTTTCTGGGGATTTCCGTATGTAGGGAAAAATAAAATCTATGGCTATGGAGCAGGAAGGAGGAGGAGGGTGAGGAGGCTCCCTGAAGGCCCTGGAGCTCCCAGCTGGACCACAGGGGCCCTACCGGTACATGGCGCTGAACAGCACCACCCAGATGATTCAGTCTCTTCTCACAGCCGACTTCTGCAAGGGCCATGGATTTGGGCTTTCAGAGCCCCCGGCAAGCATGTGCCGTCTCCCACCCCTATCATCCTCCACCCTGATGTTCCTGGTGAAGTGGTAAATGGGGCTAAGAGGACGAACACACATGGAGTTGCACACTTGTAGACAAGATGTGCCGGCTGTGAGGAAAATCTTGGGCTCCTTGTCGTCTTGATATTCTCAAAGGCACTTGCCAGTTGTGAGTCCTCGGGCAAGCCACTTCACCTCTCTGGGCCTCTTCTGGAGCAAGCTGATCACCAAGCAGCCTTTGTGCTTTCCCTTCCAGGATTACACGGGTGGGGATGAGGGTGAGAGTAGACGGGAAGCCTCGTGGGGGCTACTCTTCGCTGCCTCAGTCCCCTATTCCACCATTCAGCGGCATGTGGAAGACAGTTTCTGAAACTTCGATACTAACACCCTCTCGCTTTAATGCTGTGACCTCGTATCATGCCTTACGGCTTAGCTCCATCCTCTGCAACCCAGGAGGGGTGACCGAGGTGGGGTTCAGTGCTGGATGCTGAGACTGAGAAGAAAGATGACCTTTGGCTGAGCTTCAGGGTGGGTTTTGCCCGGGGCCCACATAATCTTTGGAAGGAGATTGGGCAAAGATGAAAAAATGACCGAACTCTTTGCTGGGGAAGATACCATGAAAGGTACCATATGCTGTGTACAAGGCATGTAAATTGCTCCATGTTTCTGGAAAAGCAGTCTGGCCATGTGGCATTAATTCCATAACATGGGCCCACAAATAGCATTTATTAATAAACACTAGGTACAATATACCAAGTATTGTGTTAAGACTTGACCTACGTTATCTTATTTACAACATCTCAACGTCTTTAAGAGTAGACCGCATTTTATCTCCATTATATATTGAGGCAAATGAGGATTAGACTCAAGTAACATGCCCAAGGCCGCACAACTATCAAATAGTGGGGCTGGGATTTTTCCGAGTCTAGCGTCTGCACTCATATCACTTGTGGGGCGCCTGGGTGGTTCAGGTGGTTAAGCTTCCGACTCTTGATTTTGGCTCAGGTCATGATCTCAGGGTCATGAGATCGAGCCCCACATCGGGCTCCCTGCTCAGTGGGAAATCTGCTTGTCTCCCTCTCCTCTGCTTCTTGCCTTGCTCTCTCTTTTTCTCTCTCTTAAATAAATAAATCTTTAAAAAATAAAAGTGTTCCTTCCTTTGGAATTTTTAAGACTTTTCCTTACGATGAATATATGTTACTTCTACATTCAGCAAAAGAATGATGAATTCCGTAGTTTGGGGTATTTTCCCATGATACCAGGTTCTCCTGCAGATGTTCCAGAAGCCTAGGCCACTTGCTTCAGGGCTGCTCCCTGACCTGAGCAATACAGCAAGGTGACTCCATACCAGGGCCAGGACCAGGACAAGCTTCCAGGTCCTAAGGGAATCTCCCCTGACCCCTCTCCTTATTTCTTCCTCCCAATTGAGAGATGGTGCTGAAAAGGTGAGTCACTTGCAGAATGCAAGCAGAACCTAGTGAAGACACATGAACAGAGAAAGTTCTGGAAGGAGGTACCACGGAGGTCTCCTAGAGGGCATAGCTGGTTAGGAGTGCCATTTCTTGGGCGGGCACACAGTGTGCTCTTAACATTTGCAACACACGTACACAGCCCTCCATGCAAGGAGCTGGGCTGGGGTTGGGTACAACCACACCCTATTGACTTGATCGTGGAATGTGCTTCATTCAAGGCTGGGACCGATGTGCTAATCCTCTGATCCCTGCAGTCCCCACCCAATCTAGTCCGACCTGCTCAAGTTGGAGAACGTGTTTTGGCTTAGGTGGGTGGAGTCGGGGGTGGCTGCTGCTCAGCCTCACTCCTCCTCTCCGACACTGGCCACACGGCGGCCACCCAATCAGGAGAGCCTCTTGCACAGTCTCAAAGGCAGACACAGGAGGCTCTTTTGTGTTCAAGGGAAAAGGGGAGGGTTGGGACAGAAGATCAGCCCTAGGAAATATGCTCATGGAACACAGGTCTGGTCATGTTACACCCCAATGTCTGTAGGAAGAGATCCGCATTCTTTAGCATGGCCTTGAGGGCCTTTCACGATCTGGTCGCAGCCTACCTTCCCAAACTCCTAGCACAATTTTCCTGCCCCCAGCCCTTCCTCACCCTAAGACTGTACCCTTCCTTGTTTCCCGTAAGATTTGATCTTCCAGGAACTGAGGTCTCCTGCTGGAGAGAGCACTGTCTTCTTTCTGAGCAGATGCTCTGCTACCTCCCCAGGTGTCTAAGCTGAATGTAACCTGATTAAGTGGTTGGCAAATTAAGTGGTTGGATTTGCGGTGGGAGGACACCAGGGAGCAATAGGCCAGAGAAGGAGGGAAAGAGAAGAAAGGAAGAGAGATGGGACCCTGCCCTCTGGAAGGCCACACATTCCCTGGAGAGACAGAAGATGCTGGGATGTACTGAAGCAGATTACCAAGCGCAACAGGACTCCTGTGACAAAGGCAGGCCTGGGGGCCGTGGGCAGTGAGTGGCAGCCAGTTAAAGAGACACTGACTCCCATCTTGTTCTGTGCTTTACCCAGCCTGAAAAGAGAAGAATCATCCTTCTGACACATACTGACCGAGGGCCTACTGAGGGCTGTGATTCAGTGTGACCAGCAAATTCCAGTTCCGTTCGGGCCCAGGCAGGTCAATGAGGGACGCATTCTTGAGATGGTAGGATGCGGTAGAGGGCGGCGGTAGATGGAGAGGCCTGTCCCATCTGAGGGCATCCACTTAAAAAAAGAGTGCATAAACACATCCCCTCTGTGCTTGAAACTTCCTGAGAGTGAACGAAAGAGACAGAAAAGGGCTGCTGCCTTTTAGGAATTTACCATGTAGTGGGGAAAATCAGGTGAGGCCACAAGAAGGGCAATGGGGGAGTACACATGGGGCTGGGGGCGGGGGATGGGGGAGAGGTGGGAAGCCATTGTCTAAGCTGAGGCCTGAAAGAGGAGTAAGACTGAAAGGGTCCCTGGGTGGTGATGATGGTAGCAGGGATCCCAAGGATTATTTGAGCAGCCCTTGTTTTTTGTTTTTAATTTAAATTCAATTAGCCAACATATAGTACATCATTAGTTTCAGATGTAGTGTTCAATGATTCATCAGCGTTCATCATATCATGTGCCCTCCTCAATGCCCATCCCCCAGTTACCCCATCCCCCACCCCCCTCCCTTCCATAACCCTCAGTTTGTTTCCTGGAGTCAAGAGTCTCTCATGGTTTGTCTCCCTCTCTGAGTTCTTCCCATTCGGTTTTCCCCTCCCTTCCCCTATTGTCCTCTGTGCTATTTCTTATGTTACATATATGAGTGAAGCCATATGATAATTGTCTTTCTCTGCTTGACTTACTTCACTTAGCGTAATCCCCTCCAGTTCCATCCACGTCGATGCAAATGGTGGGTATTCATCCTTTCTTTTTTTTTTTTTAAAGATTTTATTTTATTTATTTGAGAGAGAGAGAATGAGAGAGAGCAAGCACATGAGAGGGGG